TGTGTTTTCCACAATTTCTTTTGTTGTTTAAAAACATATTATGCTATTTTATTATGAATGTTTCTTGTTAAAAGATTATTTTTAACGTTTAAGTCCACACATCTTATGCTTTGTGGTATTCTGCACTTCATCTCGGTGGTCACTTTTTAAACACCACAATGTATTGAATAAATACAAATGCTGGGAACCAATTCTCTTTTACATTTCTATAATATTTTGTTCTATTCAGCTACACAAGCATCCTCTTTAAACTACTAAGAATTGTGCTATAAATGTGACTTTACCCGATTCTTATGTACACCTTAGTAATTTATTGATATGCCGCACAATGTCCTCCCTTTTGGTGCTATAGAAATGGCCACGCTAGCCGAGCTTGTCTCCTTACGACTGTTTACACACCACGCTAACACGGTTTCTCGCCTCCTAGTGACAATCTACAGTACTACTGCTGCCAGAACTACTACTACTCTCTAGAGGTAAACGAGCAAACCAATATTGCGGCGCCTGTAATATTCAGGACGTTTGGTTTTAATTGTAATATTTATTTAATTATGTATTCATTTTTTAAGAGAGTCAGGTGAGGCGACAGCCTTTGGTCAATTTACTTGAAAGAGTTGGCTTTTGGAAAGTGGATACGACAAACGATCTAATCAGTCTAATCAGGGCTTACAGATGCTGGCAACAATGACGGGCTATGAGGTTCATCTCATTGCTAAGCAGAGTCATCACTGGAAATGGTTAAGCACTGTAGCGAAGCTTGTATTGTTAAGAATGTCTGAAGCTTCATGATTATGGAGGCAGACTGTAAGGAGATGACGCTGTCTTCTCATGTGCTCTTTGTTATCTGAGAACCGAGCCAGAACTGACCTGCACCGAGCCCCACTGATAAACTAGTACTAGTTTAGTGCAGTTTGGTTGTGTCTTTTGCACGGTTCAGTTCAGTTTACATTCCATTTACACTCAACAGTTCTCGGTTACCGTGCTCAGACCGATCTCGGCACGGTTTCAAAAGGGTAGTAGGCTGAGCCTCACTGGAGGTGACGTATTTTGGGGTTTTATCCAATCAGGGCTCTACTTTCTCTGCTAACCTTCTCATAGAGGCTGACCTGCTGCTCCAGAGCAGAGGGGAGGTTGCATCTGAGAGCGGAATAAACATCTGATTAATGTGCATCTGCATTTTATTGAATTTTTCATGCAGTTTAAATGACTACGTTTGTGAAGTTTGAACAATGCGGATTTTACGAATAATGTTACAAAATTGACATCGTATTCCATGAGAAATCAGCACTGCTGTGAAGTATCTCTCTGGATTTATCCATTGATAATTAAATGATCTCCAGCTCCTATTTAAAGGAGATTTTTTTTCTCTCTAAACCAGTGAATCCTGGGGAGGAAATGTAATGACAGTCTTTGACTATTTCACCTCAATATTACATTTATTTATTCCCACCCACAACCTATGGAGGCAATAAATGTAAAAAAATACTTTTTATGTCAGACAAAATTATAGTTTTTTTAAGTTAGTTATAAAGAAAAAAAATCTAGAAGTTTACGGTAATTCTTTGTCTTTAGTTATTGGTTGTTTTTTGAATCAGCCTAAATTAAAACCTACTTGCACGTAGTTTATTTTTATTTTTTTGCATGTAATTATATTAACGTGGTTTATAAAATTAATAATTACCTAATTAACTTTATAATTTTCTATATAGAAAGGCCTTTGATTGAACATTCGGAGGGGATTAGAGACGTGCCTGATAAAGAATCAAAGCTGTTGTACTTGTTAATGGATCTGCCTTTGCGTTGGGGTGCCAATATTTGTGGTTTTTCCAACGATGACCTGCATGAATGTCACAACTTTTCTAGGGGTGGCATCTGATCCCTATGCAGACTGCTGGGTCCCAATCTAGCCCCGAACAGAGCCCTGCCTTAACAAAGATGTGTTGTGTTCAGGTTTTTCAGTAGTGGTTTGTTCCTGTGAGAGGGAGATAATGAAATCTTATCACCATTTGTCGCACTGTCAGAAGTCTGTGTTTGGTGTTAAACATTAAACATCTTATCAGAATCAGCAGATGTGCTAAACTTGGCAGGGAAGTTCTGTCCCACTTCCTGATGTGAAAATCAGAATTTTACAAGAAATTTGACTTTTTTGACAAATTAGATATATAAACAGAGTACAGAATGTATAGCTATATACAATATACAACATATAATATACTATATACAATACAGACATCCCACGTTGAAAAGCTCATTTCAGGGAGATGCTTAACCCGGTCTTTTATTTTCAATACTTTCAATCTTGTATCCTTGAAAATCAGTTGTGCTTTCTGTTCTTCAGCATATAGTGCACCTCGCCACGGTGTCATCATTCCTCACCATGGCCGGTTCTAGACAGGGACCAACGGGGGCCAGTGCCCCTGTAGATCAGGGGTGTCAAACCGGTTCCAGAAAGGGCCGTGTGGCTGCAGATCTTCTTTCCAACCAAGCAATAGCACACCAGACTCCAGTCACCTCATCAAGTCATCATGTTCAAATTGGACTCACTTGATGAGATGACTGGAGTCTGGTGTGCTATTGCTTGGTTGGAAAGAAGATCTGCAGCCACACGGCCCTTTCTGGAACCGGTTTGACACCTGTGCTGTAGATCATGTCCTGGCCCCTGTTTTGGCCCCTGTACTGAAGACATAATGCTTAAAAGATATTCTAATAAAGATCTGCGCTGGAACAAACATGATTACTGATGGGTCCTTCGGATCTATTTAATTATTTTTCATTAAACAGTTCTGTTCTACTACTTATTCAAAAACAATAAGGTGACAGCTTCAGTGGGATTAAAATAGGATCCCAGTTTTAATCTGCTAAATTATTTTTTTTCCCAACACATAAAAAAATTCTCTATTTTTTACAGATGAATTTAACAGTTTTTCTTGAGTTCTAATTCAAATGTTATAGAAAACGGCAGTTTTAACTTTAATTAAGTCAAAAATATGTAAAATTCCAAAATTTTTAATTTATATTGACCTCATAACAAATACAATTTTTATTGAACCTAATTGAAAATAAATTTCCCTTCATGCAGCTCTCTTAATATATTTGAATCTCTTGCCCTGTTTTTTTTATTTCATGCTTTTCTGGGCCCCCATGAAAACACTCTGGCCCCCTCCTGGCCCCCCTGGTACATTTGGTCTTGATCAGCCACTGTACCTCACCTTCACTAGAGGTGGATATACTTTAATATATTCTGCTGTAAAATTAGTTATGTTCATTTTTTACTCGAGGATTGAACCTCTGCCGTTTCCCAGGATGCACAGCTTTGAGTGGTAACTAGGTGACTGGCAGAGAGAAACCCAGAGAAACTTATCAGACTGATCCAATCAGCTCTCTGATCAACCAGTCGCCTGGAACGCTGGTTGATCAGAGCATCGCTTTGGACAGAAACGCTGCACAGGTCTCTTGTTGTCTGAGCAATCAATGTAGTTCTAATCCACACATGATGCACAAATTATTGTTTTGCCTGCCTTCTCTCACTTGCATTAAAAAAAACCACCACCTCGCAGAGTCTAAAATCCGGGATAATTTATCTGACTCGGGGGCATCCGTGAACAACTATCTATCAGGGAGACTCCCGGAACTTCCGGGAGATTTGGGATGTCTGTAAAATATATATCATATAGCCATAGACAATATACACAGAGACAGTGATAATGTAACGCAGGAGGTCTGTAGATGCTACGTTGGTGTAGCTTCTAGAACCTGAAGAGAGGCAGTGTCAGTGTGACGGGGTCTCTGGGCCTTGTTGATAAGGCTGGTAGCGGACGGGAAGAAACTGTTCTTGTGGCGTGAGGATTTGGTCCAGATGGACAGCAGCCTCCTGCCAGAGGGAAGAAACTGAAATAGTTTGTGGCTGGGGTGCGAGGGATCAGCCATACTCTTCCCTGCACGCCTCAGAGTCCTGGAAGCGTACACATCCTGGAGAGACGGAAGATTGCAGCCCATCACCTTCTATGCAGAAAGGATCACATGCTGCAGTCTGACCTTGTGCACCATCATCTTCGGCAGGTTAAGTTTTTTCAGCTGCCGCACAAAGTATTTCCTCTGCTGGGCTTTGTTGCTGAGAGAGAACTGGGATTTTTCGTAATCAGAATATCATCCTTATTGCTGGATGTTTTTGTTAAATAGATTTGTTTCTGTCTAAAGTGAATAAAACTGACAGTTTGAGTCAGTTCTGCATCTATTCCTAAAGCTGCCACTAGGGTTTGCACAAGTAGAAAACTGTAATGGCAGTCTGATTTTTAGTTACATTTTTTCCTTACAAAATAAAAAGTAATACAAATTTCCTTTTTAAAAGTTAAAAACTGTTTAAATTTAAATTGGAACATTGGTAAAAAAAATAAAAAATAAAATGCTGTTTGCAGGAAAATGTATTTAATTAAAAGTCTTTTTATACGCTTCATTCTAAGATGCATCATAAAGGAAGTTAACCTTTTTCTTCTTTTCATTGGCCTCTACCTGAAAACAGCTCTGCTACACTGATGCCCTCATCGTGCCCACACTGCTGGGACAGGAAGCAGAACCTTAAGGTGGGTCAGACATTTGTTTCTCAGAACCAGCCTGGGTTTCTACACCTGGTTCTGGGCGCTCCCTCTCAGATGGCTTCCCTTGGCCCCTATGTTGGTAGAACCAAATCTTCCAAAAATATTGCAATGAACAAAAACAATAGAACCAGCGGGTCCAACTTTCTGTTTGAGCTCAATGGCGGTTCTACGGTACCGTAAACGGTTCTGGACGCTAAAGGTTTATTTTGTTCCGTTTGCTTCACGAGAAATGAAAATATTTTAAAAGTTGTGAACGTGTTCTGAATTATCCAAACTGTTCTAACCGGTTTGAAGACGACAGGAACCAGATGGATCGGGTCAGAATCTTGTCCCAATATGCCGTCTGGTCCAAACAGACTGCTGCGTAGAAGAGGTGGTTCCCTGAAGCATGACAAAGGACAGCGCTGCTTTCAGACAGTTTTATTCTTAACGTGGGACAGCAGACAGGTGCGACCTTTGACCCCTACCCTTCACAGGTCTGTTCAGTAGATCAGCAAAGGGGTCGAGAACAAAGAGGAATAAATTAAAAACCCGAATCAATGCATCGGGTAAAAATAAAAAAAGAAAACTAAATTCAGTCAGAAATGTCAAAGGGGGAAAATAAAAAGAAAACCAAAGCTTCAAACTCCTCAACAAAAACTAGAAGCTTGAAATAAAAACCTTAAAAAAGTTAGAAAACGTTCAGATTGTGTTTTTGGTTGGTTTCTTCTTCCTCGCTGTGCTTCTGTGACTCCTCCTCCTCCTCCTCTCTGTACAACCTTCAGTATTTACACTCTACATCCATTCATCAGTTCTGTCTCTTTAAGAGCCCTCAGCTCGGGGGCGGAGTCTCCGCTCCGCTGTCAGCCAATCAGCAGCTGCTGTTCTTGAACTCTCCGTTCTCAGTGATGGACAGTTTGGTGGGGTTGCCTGGCGACAGGCCGTTGCGGATGTTGGGGGCGCTGTAACGCTCCTTCACCTGCGTCAGCGCCGCCATCAGCCGGGAGTTCGCCGCGTCCAGCGAGCCGATCCGCTTCTCCTGATTGGACAGAAACAAAGAGGGGGAGGGGCAGGAAGTTAGACTGATTGCTATGGCCTTCAAAATAAAAGTTTGTGCGGGGATGATTACGAACACTGTCGGGTTAAAACCACACTGCCAGAGTCTGAGCCGGAGCGACGGCGGCTAAAAGAAAAGTGCTTCAGTTTAACCCCTTCAGCCCGGACGGCCCGGTACAGAGAACAATGTCCTGCTCATGTTCAGTTATAGAACTGTTTGTTTCATGCACACACCTTTCAAATGGGGCTTTAAAAATCTCTAAAACATGTTTCAAAATTATTTTTTCCCGCATATACTTTTTGTTTTACAGCTGAGTAAACAAATAAAATGAGATTTAAAATTCCATCTGAAATGTGTGACTCTGGGGGTTATGCAACAGCAGGTATTCATTATTAGCCCCGCCCCCTAATGCCCGACATCACTGGAATCATTAGAGCTTTCAGAGGAGGGGTCAGAGGTCATTGTGCGACCATTTCAGGTGATGTAATCGGCATGCGTTCCATAAGCTGCTCTGTTATTCTTATTTTCTATTCAGTTTGGTGATATTATTGGTAACTTACAATGAAACAATGGCTAAATCTTAGGAGCAAAGGCTTTGCCTCATGCATATTTGACCAGATTCCCTTTTATGGGTGGAAAAATTTATTTTGTGCATTATTTTCATTGTGCCAAAACCACATTTCCACTTAGCACACTGCTAGGAGGAATCTGCTCTTAAGACCCCCTGGGCTGAAGGGGTTAAACCAGAAAAAAGATCAATCTGATGGAAATCATCTGCTTTCTTTGGTTAAAACCCCCTGATTGGACTCATGTTTCTGAGTCTTTAGGTCAGCTTTAGGACCCTGTAGCTTGTTGATTCTAGAACGTTTTTAAACATCCTGACTAAATATGGCGACGTGTAGAGACAAGGTCTCAGCTCAGAACCGGGAATTAGACGTTAAAGGGACCAGAGGTGGTAAATCTCCATTAGTTATGAAAAATTCCTCTAGTTTTATTCTGAAAGTTGCCGACTGTTAGAACATTATGAAATGTGGTTGGGGTGTTCCTACTTTAACCAGATAACGTTCATGTTTTAGCAAAAAAAGAAGCAAAGTGAGAAAGCCTGAGGTGGTTCTGACCCGACAGCAGCAGCAGTTTGAAGGCAGCAGCCAGAGGAAGAAAAAGCTGAAAACAAAAGCTTCAGCTTCTGGGACCGCTTCAGGTCTGCTCCGCTGTCGCCCTGATGGTGAAGCTGTGCTGGTTCAGAGGGGGGGTGAGGGGATGGGGGAGGGGTGGGCAGCCAAACAGAAATCAAATGCATTCAGACAAACCAACACGCCTGTGCCACAGAAAAGCTGATCCGTGGTTCTGATGGGGGAAGTTCTGTTGGAGCTGTGAACACCGGATGGACCCGTTACCACCTCAGAGGGTTCCTCTTAATCTTAAAAAAAGACAAGCGACAGCTCTCTGACCATCCATTCATGGTTCCCTTCCTTTCTGAAGTCCATTAGCATCTCAAAGATTTATTTTGATGTTTCTGTGTTGGTTCCTGTTGGGGTTTTGGGGCTCAACAGAACCTTCAGGTCTAGTTTCTTGCTATGAATAAGTGGGCGTGTCTCTCAGCACTCTGGGCTCTGATTGGTCAGCAAACCAGAAATGCTGTAGTCTGAGCAGCAGAACTATTTAAAGTGACTGGGAGACACTTTACATTACATTACAAAAAAAAGACTACGGTATTTAAAATTCGTTAAAGCTCCTCAGCCTTCATCACTTGCTATGCTATTGCTATTAAAGTTATTTATAGAAAATAAAACAACAGAAACCTGCCAGGTTACCAAATAAAAAAGATGAACAAAAAGTGCAGAGTTGCGCTGCTCCTACATGCAGCATGGCTAAACGGAGCTACTCAGGTGATAGCTAAAGTTTATCACATTTATTTACAAACAGAACCTGATTTAAGTTCATTCTGCATCTCTGCCTCCATTAAGCAGAGTAAAAAATCCGGACCGGACTCTGGATCCATTCTCATTTCTGCTTAACAAAGAGATTCCTTTTAAGCAAACACTTTTAATCAACTGGATGGAAACATTTAAATAATAAACCGTTAATTAACAATAAATCAAAAGTTAATTTTCAGATTAATGTGAAATCAGTCAGATCGAAATAGAAATCAGTTCCAAAGTTCAGTCATGTTCATTTTATGCAGCTAACAGCAGAAACTAAAAAACAGTTCTGCTCACAGTCTGTGGTTTCACTGATTCATTTAGTTTCTGTTATAAACATATAGCATGGAGACAATCAAGACATGCTTTAAAGATCAAAACTATTCTCTAACAAACCTGTTTTTTTGAAAAACCAGCGTTTATGTTTGTTAATAGTGACATACATTAATAAACTTTCCTTTTTGATAAAGCTGATAGAGTGGCTCAGGTTATCCTGAGCTATCTCTATAGTTCTGCTGCTATAGGCTTAGACTGCTGGAGGACATAGGGACCCCTTTTTCATCATCCTGCTTCATTCTATCTCTATTCTCCCACTCTGCAGAATCTGTTAGTTCAATCTCTAACGTTCCGCTCTCTCTGCTTTTTCTCATAGTAGCTTCATCTGGTCTGTTCCTGTTTGGCTGTGACTCCATCCTGGAGAGAAATATCAGCTGTGCTGCTGCCATCAACACCTTTGTTTCTAGATGTTGGAGCTTGGCCTGTTTTTCAGTGTAGTCCTGTTTCTCTGACTGTGACTAACTGGATGTGCTCTCTTCATCCTCTGACATGGGAGCTGGCTCGGAGCTCGTCTACCTGGCTGTGTTTCTTGGACGGGGCCGCCTGTGGAGCTGGTTGACAGTTGCCTTTTGTATCTATGTTGCTTTTCTATGTGTGTTTCTAACAGCCAGCCTTATATGCTTGTTATTAGTGAAATAAATGAATAAGGACAAATTATAGGTCTAAAACCTGAACTATAAATACTATAAATGACATTTATAAATAAATATGTGACAACAGATTGTAAGGCTGAAGTAAATCACTAATCAGTGTTTTTAGGTCCTATAATCATCAATCACGTTGGCTGCGGCTCCTCTGCCGTTCTATTTTGCCCTTTTTTTTTTGCTACTTAGTGGCGCCGTCCAACAGAGCTGTGCCCTAAAGGTTCTACCACTGGATCAGAACCGCTTTCACACTCCTAGCTGATCATTCTGAGGGAATATCGGAAACTTTCAGAGGGATCAGAACAATAAGTGGGTCAGGAAGAATCCAACTTCCTTCCTGTGACATCACTACTCAGCATAAAGCATCCTGGTTCTGTAGTCCAGTCCTCAGAGTTCCCGGTCCAATAGAACCCGATGAGAACCTGGCCCAATGCAGCGGTACCGTATGCTCCCTCAGTGTTTGCAGGGTATGGAACCAGATTCCTTCCTGACGTTATCCAGATCAGGTTCAGATTGTCCAGCAGGGGGAGCTCACAGCTCTCTGATTGGCTGGCTGCCGTCTGAGGCGTGTTGGCGTTTGGTTGTCAAAGTTTTTAAATCAAATCAAAGAAAACCAGCGAGGAGGATGGAGGGGGTGGTGGAGGGGGCGGGGCTACAGGTACTTGCCTGATTGGTTTAATTCACATCCGTTACTGACCTGAAATCAGTGAAGAGACGGTGAGAACAAAGTTTACCCTAACTGGCGACCGGCAGCTCCTCTGCCTTTATCACCTGCTTCCCTTTCAGCACCTGACATGATGAGGATGACGAGGATGAAGGAGTTTCCTACCTGGGCGTCGATTATTTTCTGCTTGGCTTCGATCACCGCCTGCATCTCTGCGTGGTCCCTCTTCAGCTCCTCCTCCACCGCCATCAGCCTGCAGGAACAGAACCGCTGTGAGGTTCTGGGCTGAGCCAGGTTCAGGTGGCGCTCAGCGGAGACCCTACCTGCAGATGATGCTCTTCATCTGGCCGTCCTTCTCCTCCTGCTGCCTCCTCAGCCGCTCCTCGCTGTCCTCCAGCCGGTTCTTGTACTCCATCAGGAGCTTCTGCATCTGCTGCTCCTGAGCCAGCAGCCGCCGCTCGTACTCCTCCAGCCGCCGCCCGGACGCCCGCAGCCGCTCCTTCAGGCGGGAGATCTCCAGCTCGTACTGCGGGGGGATGAGAGATGGATCCGCTTTAAAACCGTCTCAGCGGCGGACAAAGACCCGGTTCTGATGCTCGGTACCTTCTCCGTGTTCCGGCCCTCCTCTCTGCTGGGTTCTGCTCCCGCCTCCTCCTCCTCGTACTGGCCGTTGTTCAGGACCCATGCCGCGGTCCTCTCCACCGGGGACATGGCCACCGCCTCCACTGGCGTTCCCACCTGCAGGCAGAGAGACGTCGTCACAGGCCTGCCTGAACCAATCAGAGAGCAGCGCTGCAGAGCCCTGCTTACCTGTGGCTGTTTAGCTGCGGCCCTAGAGGGCGGAGCCACGGTCTCCATGGCGCCTGTGGACGGCTGGCGGGTGGAGGGTGTGGGCTCAGTGTTGGCGCTGCTGCTGCTCCGTAGCGAGGCGCTCTGCGGCTGAGAGCGAGGCGTCCTGACCCCGCCCCCTCCTCTGCTCTGCTGCTCCACCTTGATGATGTGGGCGGTGCCCGCGGTGGTGCTCTGGCGGGGGATGGCCACCGCCGTGGCTGCAGCCAGCGGCAGGTCTTGCGGCGGATGGCGGCGCGGCGTGGGGCAGTCCTCGCTCTGCGTGCTCCGCCTGCTGCCCACCTCGTCCAGACTGCTGTTGGACGCCATGTGACCTTTGCCCCCCACCTGGCTGCCGAAGTCGTCAGAGTTGCTGTGGCTGTTGTGCGAGCTCTCCGTGCTCAGGTTCTCGGAGCTGGAGTCGTGCCTCAGCGACTGGGCGGAGCGGGTGGACAGGCTGTGGGCCGGGTTGCTCAGCTGGTACACGGGGTTCTGGAAGGACAGCGCCTGCAGCAGGCGCTGCTCTCTGACCGAGGGGGGCAGGGGCCGCCTCGCCTGCGGCGCACTCTGCGGCTGACCGTCTCTGGGCGGGGCTTTGGACTGGTGCGGCGCCGGCTGGGGCGTCACCGGGTTGGAGTGGGGGTAAGTCAAAGGGGAGGGGCCATGCCCGATAGACGCCTGAGAGCCCACCCTGCTGAGGCGAGGCGGGGCTTCGTGGGGCGTCGGGGGCCCCACTGGACCATGAAGGCTCTGAGAGTCCTGGAGGTCCACCAGAGAGACGCTGCGACCGTTGGGCAGCAGGCCGTCCTGATCAGAGAAACTGGCAGGAAGCTGCTGAGCCAGCAGGGGGCGCTGGCTCCGACCGTAACCCTCCAGCAGCTCGCCGGCTGGAGACTGAAGGCTGCGGACGTCGCTGTGGCTGCAGGGGGGTCACAGCGACACAGAAGTTAGAGACAGGAAACAACCATCAGAGAAAAACTAAAATATGATATGAAACCAATTAAAACATTTCTAAAGATAAACTGGCCTTAAACGCCTGAACGGCTGATTGCAGTCTGAGGAAACGGAACGCCATCAGAACAAACTGCAGATTTATTTAGCTAAATGAACTTGGCCTGAACTATAGAGACACTTCCTGAATATTTTCTCTCAACAAGGGAGGAGATCAGGGGAAATAAAAGCAAGATGGCCGTCTAAATAAACGATGCCAGTGGTGACCAGAGTCCACCATGGGGAGATGGAAGACAGTAGTGAGTAAAGCGTGAAAACAAAGACCTCCATGATAACCAGGAGGATCATCAGGGATAAAACCCAAACATTTATATTATTATATATTTATATTCTGCTTCAATCAGAGGGCTTCATCAACTGTTATGTGGAAATGATTTTAGGCTTAAAAAAAAACTTTTAAGATGAGCTTTAATTATTAAATTACACGGAAAAGCTGCTGGTAGCTGCTCACTGCATTTGCAGCAGAATATAAGGCAGCATCATCAGCATAGAAAGAAAATGGACCTTTAGCTTTTAATCTAAACAGTTAATAAATGTTAAAAAAGAAGGGAACTTGGACTGAACCGTGTGGAACAACCCTGGATTCTGGAAGATGGTTAAATAAACCACCATTACTGGTGGTTATTTAACCATTTAATGGAAATTTATCACCATTTCCTGATCAACTGTATAAAAGGATCGTGGAGTTGAGGAGGAAGCTGCAAGAGAATGTTTACGTTTATTTTACGTCCTCAGACGGAGAGCTAGAGCTCTGATTGGGCAAAGCTCAGAACATACATTTATACTCCCAATACACACAGTCTCCCCTGGAACTCTCCCATTCCTACATAAAGGACTTTCTCTCGCACAAACATTTGGTTATTCCCAAGAAAAAAACACTTCAATTCATTAAGGACATAAATATCAGCCAGATAAACACTCATTATCTCTCATGGCCTTCCCTTCACCCCACCCTCCCCCACTCTTAACTCCCTACATAACTTTACTTCAGCATATAGACTTATAAACAATCACCCCATTAAATATTTTATCTCACAAATAGGCCAAGGAAAAATATGCTTCCACAGGATTTAGACAAGTCAATAAAAATGCCTCACACTGTTTATTATCTACCTAACCTTTAGATGGAGATGCAGTGGTAGCGCTATGCTCTGCTCTATAGATGGAAAGCAGTTCCAACACTCTGAGGTCTCAGACTCCAGTATTTTTGCTAACAGTCACTTTAGAAACTGGGCTGTAAGTTTATTTAGCTGCTTTCTCATGTCTGTAAACAGAAAAAACAGCAGGTCTGCAGCAGCTAATGGTTATTTTGTTCATCCATTAATCTGTTGTTTATTTTTTCTATTACTAATCAGATATAAAACGGTTCATTAAATATTTTAGACAGAATTTAAACCAGATGAAGTTAAAACATTTGAGGAATTCTGGACAGGACCTATTAAAATTGGAGAACACCCCTCCGCTCGTCCCTCAGTGAGGTCTAGAAGCACAAGATCTATATCCAGCCCTTCAGTAAAAATGCTGCCACATGGCTGCACATCTTATTTTGGCATTTGACCAATTAGATGAGCCTTATATGTTACCTAATGGAAATTAAGTTGAAACAAATCAAGAGGGAAAAAAAGGTAAAAAGCTCATTGAAAAGTTAAAAAGTTAATAACTCTAGTTAACAATTATATTTAGGTTTATAAACAAAAAAATGTAAGTTCCAGTATCAGCATTAATGCCTCTAAGGTTATATTGGACCAAAACATTTTTATTTCACTGTGTGTTTTTCATCAGTTTCTTCTAGAAGCACTTTTGTTATTTTTCTTAATATATTGGGGAAAGTTGGCGTTTCTTGTTATTACATTGACTTAATTAATTTTTCCATCAAAATATTTAGATTTTTTTAATGTTACAAAGGTAATAAAGACTTGTTCTAATTCCAATAACACTATTGGGTGGAAATGTTGATTATCAAACTGTTTCACTGAGGGCCCTATAAAGGGTTTTAAAGGTTTTTCTTTTTGAATGACAAATATTGACATTTTACTACAAATTTTTTTATAAATACTCCTCTGAGTGGGTTTATCTTTAAGCTAAGATTTTAGTCTGTATACTAGAATTAACACTTAATAGATCAGTTAATTGTTGAAATAATCGATTCATTCAGATAAATTTTTTAAGCCCTAAAAAAACATAAAAAATTTTAACAGTGTTTTAAAGCATAAAACCGAAAAATGAAAGTGATTCTTGTGTCCATGCAGAACCAGATCTCAGCCCCTTCCTTTTACTTTATCTTAGCCTAAATGTTCCAGAAAGATGTCGGTAATTTGAAGAAGGAAAAGTGAAATCAGAGGAATCTCGTTCAGACCAAAGTAACAGATGCGTATGATGGTAGCGGATTGTGCAGCTGACTGGTTACCTATCGGCAGGATCCTCAAAGATGCGCTGCAGCCCTGACGACACGCTGCCGCTGATGTTGCTGTTGTCCTGGAAACGCCTCAGCTGCTGCTGGATCGGCGTGGGCGCAGCCAGGCAGCGGCTGATGTCTCCCAGAATCCTCGGCAGCGGGCCCAGCTTGGCTACGGTGGCCTGCAGGAAGGAATTTTCACCCTGTGGTCCCGTGTGTTGGTGTGTTTGTGAGCGGATGGATTGAATGGAGCGCCGGGTGGAGGCGGGGAAAGCAAAACATGGTGGCAGGAAGTGGAGAGGAAAAAAAAGGAGGGAAAGAAAATGAGGAGGACATAATGGAAACCAAAACAAACCGTCTAGAACTTCATGCTGCTACAGAACAGAACCAGAACACAGCAGAGCCATGCGGACAGTCAGCTCCGACAGGTGAGACGAGAAGAACGGGGGAGGAGGGTGAGGCACAGCACAGCTGGAGGGGTGGGGGTCATGCTGTGATCAGGCAGCGTTAATGAGGAGGTTAAATGAACTCTGGTGATGTCAGCGCCTCGTCACACAACACACCAACTGTTCACCAATCAGTGATCAGTAAACGTTCAGTCAGTCGACCTGAGAGGCTGCAGGGTGAGCAAACCCAGCATGGTTCTGAAACACGACCCAGCTGAGGGTCCGTTCGCACGGTCCTCATAAATCAGTTGGTCCTACAAGCTAAAACTACCAGAACCTCAGGAAAACAAATTCATCCAGGATCAAATCTGGATCTGATTTCTGCTGAAAAGCAGCTTTTTCTGCATCGATCAGGTTTTAACAATGCTATAAAAACAGATTAAATAATGAAGTGATCTAATAACATATTTTATTATTTGTTTAAAGGGGAGAAATTTTCATCTAATTCCATATTATTTGTTTAAAGGGGAGAATGTTCAAAGAGAAAATCCTTTAAAGCTGCACTATAACTTTAAGCCACTGGGGGGCGCTAAAGCTGGACGTTTCAGGAAGACCAAAGCAGTGTCTGATCAGGTGAGGGTCAGATCCACTGATCTCTATTTCTTCACCAGATGCTGATGGCGTGAAAAAAGCCGCCATCTTGGTACTCCCCACTCTCACGGAGAAACACCATAAAATTGCCTAAATGTGGGCATTTGGCTGCAAAAACAAGCAGTTTTTTTGGCTTTGGGGAGAAGTCTCAAAAGGTAATTATACAGTCAGTGAATGAACTAACCAAGAAAATCTACATATACTCCAATGTGTCCTATAGTATAGTATGAAACACCATTTGGCTATATTTCTGTTTCTTTTTCGAAATGCATATAAATGTATATTTGAATGTGAATTCCTACCTGTGTAAGTTTTATTATTAAAGGTATTTAATCACTGGATAGTGAATGTGAGTTTATGTGTGCATGTCATGTCATGTGATTCTGCTAGTGTAGAAACTGAAGCTGTGTGGAATTATTAAATTAGTTCATTAATTTAGTTCTACTGTTAATCTATGTCAGATTTAAAGGCTAATGCACAGACAGTATAAAACTATTCATGCATGTTCAACTTGCAATGAGAAAAATGAATTCAGTCTTTATGTAAAGTCTTGTAATCATATGTAATATGTAATGACCATAACTAAGAAATCAATCCATGTATTCACATATACATCATCAATTTAGTATTTTTCGCTCATCTGTATTATGAAGCTCAATTAACACATTAATTTTGTTGTGATGGATTGTATATGTGATATTACATGATTTATCAACTTCATTGACTTAATAATGATGCAATGTGATGCGAATATTTTTTTTGTTATAAGTTAAAGTTATCTACTGATGCTATGAAACAGCCAGTGTGTTTCAAAGTGATGAATCGATCTTTATTTTAAAAGTCTTAAGTCCCCCTGAAAAGGATAAAATCATCGTCGTTCGATGCTGTAGTTTTGTTTACATTGGGATCGATTTAACTAGGGAGTACCAATATGACGCCGGTGGTTTCCCTCGACCCTGTACTACCAACGGGCGATCAGTCAATAAATAGAGCGGTCAGATCTGCTTTGCCAGCTAACAGCAGCAACTGTTAGCTTAGTTAGCTGTGGTGTTTAGGGGGAACTCAGCCTGCAGTAAAGCGTAGCTCTAGGTCACATGACCCAGACTGGATCCGACCTTCTCTAGTTACTCAGGGAAAACATCGATATGCACCGAGTGCTGCATACTGACCTGAAAACTCAATTAATTCATCTCAAATTAATCTAATCCTTGGATCAAACATTTAACTTTCATGGTTTGTTCTTTATATTAGAACACTGGGAGGTTAAGTATTAACTGGACCAACTGGATCAGACGCCTTCTTCTGCTGCAACATCATTAATCTCATTTTTTTATTAAATAAGTGCATCTTTTCTTGAATTGAGCAGGTAAGTAAGACACTTTGCCAATGGAATAAGACAATACATTTAAAGTAAGAACAATCGCAGTCTGTTATTGCAAGTGCACATTATCTAATTATCATATATTTAGGGTAAAAATGCTTGTTCCATTGGCAGATCACCCTATTTCCCTACCAAAATTAAGGGTAAATGCATTTAACTAAAGACATGCTCACTTATTTTCAGTACATTTTTGCAGTGCAAGGATCCTTTAGGGTACTGAGGTCCATGTGTTGACAGTAAAGGGCTGGTTATCCTCCCTCAGCAGTGTGTGGCAGTTAGCCTGTCGCAGGTATGACACATTTTTCATTTCTACCCAATACTGAAGCTGCGTCTGCGCTGTTATTCCACGCCGCAACGCCAGAGGGACAATCAGGACCAGCTAGCTAGGACTGTGGGTGTCTGTCGGTTTGACGAGGTTGTTCTCGGTCTACAACCCCTCATCCCACGCCTGATGACACACAGTTCACTCGTGACTGTTTCCCATAGACCGGCCGTGGCGCTGCGTGTTTTGGCTTCAGATCCAAACCAAAAGACCGTCGCTCAGAGCTACAAACTAGCATCCTGTACGCCGTCTGGGATAGTGTCTGAGGTGTGCAGGCGTTGTGGACGGCGCTATAGCCTGAGTTTCTGCCATTAGGCCCCAAACAGGAAATATGCATGGTGTAGAAAGGATGTAGAATAGACCAATCAGAGGTCTCCTTTCTCTCCTCCATGCGACGCTATCTGCGGCTCTGTCTGTGGTCATGTCTGCATTAACTGCGACACACGCAGACGATCTGGTTTCTGAGCATAAACCATCCAACCGTTACCCTGACCTGAACCGTTAGCCAAAACAAAGGAGCAGCACCCTGTCCTCAGTTTGATGGTGAAATCAGACCACTGGTCCTCACTCTGATACCAAAGCAGGAACAAACACTCACCTTGTCGAGCTGGGAGACCACCTCCCACAGCAGAGCGTGCAGCACCGACAGCTCGCGGCCCAGGTCAATGTACCCCTCGAAGCCCGGCGTGTTGGACAGGGTCTCCGGGTTGGAGATCTCCGACAGGAAACGCATCATCCCGGCCCACTCGTGCTCCAGGAAGTCGTTCATGAAGGCCATGTACTCCTCCTTGTTGCCGAACCTGCTGGGGAGAACAGCCTCAGTCTCGGGGCGAAGCCGGCAGACGGCGCCGCCTGGAGGAAAGCCGGAGCGCAGGGACTCACTTGGTGAAGTTGGCGAGGTTTTGGATGACCTTGGCGATGAGGGTGAGGGTTCTGGACGTCCTGTCGTCCGGGTACTCCTGCATCAGGCTGAAGAGCGACGGCGACATGATGGCGGGGCAGAGGAAGCGCAGGAAGAGGGAGGCGCTGATCAGGCGCTTGCTGATGTCCTGCGGATGTCCGCAGGCGACGCACTGCTGCTTCCAGGAGGCGAACACCTCCTTCAGCTCCCGAGGAAACACGCTGCACAGACCAAACCCACACAATTTAACTCCACCTACCACCAGCTTTAAAGGTTCTGATCGTCCAAAAGAACCAAGAGAAAAAAAAAACCAGCTTCAAGCAGATCAACACGCTAAGCTAATCTGGTCTTTGTTGGTCTGATCGGACCTTACAGGGTTCCAGAACCTTCCGGACCAGCCGGGCCTTACCAGTAGGAGTTGATGATCTTGCAGAAGGCGAGCTCGCAGCACATCTTCAGGTTGCTCTGATGTTCCGTCAGGTCGCTGCCGGAGCAGCGGCTCGGGTCCACCTCACAGTTCTCGTCCGACTCGTACAGAGCCTTGATGAACTCGCCTGCAGACACGGCAGAACCCCGAGGCTCAGAACGGTTCTACAGGCAGCCACAGATGTTTCTGTTGGACCAAACATCTGCTCCCCTCCTCCTGAGCTGAGAGGCGTTCGCTGTCAGCAGAGGAGCTGGGAGTTTTCAGCTCTGGCCTTCATTAAGCTTTAACGAGGCGGCATAAATCAGTGGAGGAATGAATATTTAATAATCCAGCAGGAAATAACAGCGCAGCTGAAAGCTGCTGCAGCATCAGAGCAGCTCTGATCCACTGATGCTGCTAAAAATAGCTGCTTTCAGTGACTGAAAGTCACAGCAGGAGGGTCTATTTTCAGCTTCTGTTTCTCCTCAGATGTTAAGAGGGAGCAGCTGGAGGAGGAGGAGGAAGGAGCTTCATCATTCAGATGATTTAGAGATAAAAAGCCCAGAAGAGGCAGGAACGTCTGACAGCCGCAGACTGGAGGAATAACAGTGGAGGAACGGCCTGTTAGGTTCTCCTACATGTTGCTGCTCCTCTTCCAGCTGCTCCTCCTCCAGCTCCTTAAACACTCACCCAGGGCGTCATGGAGATACTTCTGGCCCACCAGCTTCAGATACTCCTCGATGGCCTTGGTGGCCAGCGTGTTCTCCCTGAAGATCAGGACGTCATGGTCGGCGCAGCGATCCACCTCTGACATCACCAGGTCAGTCAGGAAGTCCTGAACAGAAGGTGGAGACAATTAGGCTGTCAGAACATCGGACCAGCAGAACCTAACGGGCTTTCCTTTAGTGCATCCAGCAGCCGTGCCGTAAATGTGATGTGATGTGAGTGAGGCGCTGGTTCTGACCTTGGCCCGGCCCGTGCTCTGCAGGATGTGGACCAGCGCGCAGGCCATCTCCTCCTTGTTCTTGACGCTGATGACGGGCTCCAGCACGGAACACAGCATGGTGTAGTTGTTGGTGACGAACTCGGCGAACTCCTTGTACTGCTCCATGGGCAGGATGGAGATGGTCTGGAAGCGGGACTTGATCCGGATGGAGGGCCCGCCCCCTTTGGACTTGCTGGCCGTTGGCGTGCTCACCGGGTACCACTTCTCCACGAACTGCCGTCCCGTCATGCTGGGCACCGGGATGTTGACCAGGCCGACGTAGTTGTTCTTGTCCTTCTTCTTCTTCTTGTCCACGTCGCGGTAGATGTGCACGGTGACGCTGCGCACCACGGGCAGGCCGCAGAAGTCGAAGTACTCGCCCCAGAACAGGCTGTCCTGCCGGGTCTTGCTGGTGGTGCGGGCGTACAGGACGTCGTCCAGACACAGCTCACAGAAGTACCTCTTCTTGGGCGGCAGGTCTTTGGCCTCGATGATCCACAGGCGCAGCAGGTTCTCCGCCCGCCGACAGTTGTCCTGGAAACGCAGACACACTCATCATGCATCAAACCCATTAAGATGGGTTTAAAGAACCAGAACCACACGCCAGGTCCGGTTTGGGCCTGACCTTGTTGGGCTGGATGGTTCTCCTCAGGTTCTCCATCCACTTGTCCCTCTCTGAGGCGGAGGTGCAGCTGAAACACTTGCTGCCGCCGGAGTAGGTCACCTGCCAGAGAAGAAGAACCACAGCGGATCAGAGGTGGAATGGATCATCTATGGTTCCTGTCCAGAACCCGGGTGAGTGTCTTACCTCGAAGCAGAACTCCTGGCCCAGGATGCTGCTGTGCAGCGGCTTGATGAACACGTCCTCCTCCATGCTCAGGTCCAGAGCCTCCACAGCGCTGCCCGGACACAGCAGAGACTCATGGGAGCTGGACTCCTTCAGCTTAGGGAGCCCGCGGGACCTGCAACAGAGAACCGGGTCAGAGGCGGCCGCACAGAACCGCAGCTGGAAGCTAGGAGGCGCTGCTGAGTAGCAGAACCAAAGAGCTGCAGGGTTACCATGGTAACCAGTAATTCAACCATAGACCTGCATAAGGAGGAGTCAGCTGAGTTCTGGTAACAGAAGCAGGTCCGTTCCTGGTTCCGCTCCCCGTGATGGACCTTCCTGTTGTCTAATCTCTGTTACATAAACCCAGATTACTGATGGTCTGACTGACCAATCGGATCGCACGGATTATAATCTGCAACATGACATTCTCAGAACACGACCCGATCAGCCTCCACAACCTGCTGGTTCCTAAAGATGAAGCTGAAAGGTTTCAGAACCAGAGAAACCAGCTGGGATCAGAACCGGTACCAGAGGCCAGCCCAGTGAAACCAGAAACCTCCCATCGTGCTGATCCGGCTCCACCGGGTTCGTTCTGCTCCTGTTCTGGTTCAGACCGCCACCCAGTAAACCCAAACGGACCTTCAGAACCCAGCCTCCCCAGTTAAAACCCAGCCAAGCAGTTAAAGCGATTCCAGAACCGCCCTACCTTACGGCTTCCTCCTGGTCTCAGTAGAGTGTGAGCAGAGGAGACCCGACCCGTCCAGTCCAGGGGAGGGGGCGGGGCATCCCGCTGGCTGACATCCAGTCTGAGGATCAGAACCGCGGCCTTCCTGCCTGCATCAACATCCTCTCAGACCATCAGACCATCAGAACACTGGTTCTGATGGAACTGGGACAGAACCAGAACCGGCAGGAACAGAGTTTAGTGGGAGAGGATCAGCCCCTAGAATCTCCGATACGGATCCCTCAGGGTTTAGATCGGTTCCAGAAAGAGGAATCGGGCCCAGATGCTGGCCTGGTAGAACTCTCATGTTTAGGACAAGTTTTGCAGCGTTTTTTTCTGGCTGGTTGGACTTTCAAACATTTCGGGTAAAGTTCTGATACAGATGTAGAACCCAAACGGAACCTTGGTCCTGGCAGCTCCACTCACTGGGAGAGGAGTGCGAGTGGTAAGCAGAGAGCAGCACTTCCAGTAAAGCCGGGCCCGCCCAGCGCTGGGAAGGAGGAAGACAAACTGACGCCTGAGTGGGTCGCTGCAGCGGGGTTTATTATAGAGCAGCTAGAACAGAACCAGAACCAGGAATCAGAGCAATTAAGGTCCGATCAGCTTAAAATGAAACAACGATCAGAACATGAAGCAGAGAGGCTTAGATCTCTGAAACGGGTCTGGGTTCTGGTACCAGCTGATCCCACTGAGATGTTCTGTTTAACATTTTAGCTGTGGAGGAAGAAGGAATCACTGAGGAGACATCCAGAGACAGGAAACACCCCTGCAGCAAGCACAGCTTCACAATAAAAGCCTCCTTATAACCAATAGAATAAAATCCTCCTTGAACCTGAAAGAACTTCAGAATAAAAGCCTCTCTGCAGCTGATAGAACTTCAAAATAAAAGCCTCCTTATAACTCAGACGGACCAATAGAATAAAATCCTCCTTGAACCTGAAAGAACTTCAGAATTAAAGCCTCTCTGCAGCTGATAGAACTTCAAAATAAAAGCCTCCTTATAACTCAGACAGACCAATAGAATAAAATCCTCCTTGAACCTGAAAGAACTTCAGAATTAAAGCCTCTCTGCAGCTGATAGAACTTCAAAATAAAAGCCTCCTTATAACTCAGACGGACCAATAGAATAAAATCCTCCTTGAACCTGAAAGAACTTCAGAATTAAAGCCTCTCTGCAGCTGATAGAACTTCAAAATAAAAGCCTCCTTATAACTCAGACAGACCAATAGAATAAAATCCTCCTTGAACCTGAAAGAACTTCAGAATTAAAGCCTCTCTGCGGCTGATGGAACTTCAAAATAAAAGCCTCCTTATAACTCAGACAGACCAATAGAATAAAATCCTCCTTGAACCTGAAAGAACTTCAGAATTAAAGCCTCTCTGCAGCTGATGGAACTTCAAAATAAAAGCCTCCTTATAACTCAGACAGACCAATAGAATAAAATCCTCCTTGAACCTGAAAGAACTTCAGAATTAAAGCCTCTCTGCAGCTGATGGAACTTCAAAATAAAAGCCTCCTTATAACTCAGACGGACCAATAGAATAAAATCCTCCTTGAACCTGAAAGAACTTCAGAATAAAAGCCTCTCTGCAGCTGATAGAACTTCAAAATAAAAGCCTCCTTATAACTCAGACTGACCAATAGAATAAAATCCTCCTTGAACCTGAAAGAACTTCAGAATTAAAGCCTCTCTGCAGCTGATAGAACTTCAAAATAAAAGCCTCCTTATAACTCAGACGGACCAATAGAATAAAATCCTCCTTGAACCTGAAAGAACTTCAGAATTAAAGCCTCTCTGCAGCTGATGGAACTTCAAAATAAAAGCCTCCTTATAACTCAGACGGACCAATAGAATAAAATCCTCCTTGAACCTGAAAGAACTTCAGAATTAAAGCCTCTCTGCAGCTGATAGAACTTCAAAATAAAAGCCTCCTTATAACTCAGACAGACCAATAGAATAAAATCCTCCTTGAACCTGAAAGAACTTCAGAATTAAAGCCTCTCTGCAGCTGATGGAACTTCAAAATAAAAGCCTCCTTATAACTCAGACAGACCAATAGAATAAAATCCTCCTTGAACCTGAAAGAACTTCAGAATTAAAGCCTCTCTGCAGCTGATGGAACTTCAAAATAAAAGCCTCCTTATAACTCAGACGGACCAATAGAATAAAATCCTCCTTGAACCTGAAAGAACTTCAGAATAAAAGCCTCTCTGCAGCTGATAGAACTTCAAAATAAAAGCCTCCTTATAACTCAGACTGACCAATAGAATAAAATCCTCCTTGAACCTGAAAGAACTTCAGAATTAAAGCCTCTCTGCAGCTGATAGAACTTCAAAATAAAAGCCTCCTTATAACTCAGACGGACCAATAGAATAAAATCCTCCTTGAACCTGAAAGAACTTCAGAATTAAAGCCTCTCTGCAGCTGATGGAACTTCAAAATAAAAGCCTCCTTATAACTCAGACGGACCAATAGAATAAAATCCTCCTTGAACCTGAAAGAACTTCAGAATTAAAGCCTCTCTGCAGCTGATAGAACTTCAAAATAAAGGCCTCCTTATAACTCAGACAGACCAATAGAATAAAATCCTCATTGAACCTGAAAGAACTTCAGAATTAAAGCCTCTCTGCAGCTGATAGAACTTCAAAATAAAAGCCTCCTTATAACTCAGACGGACCAATAGAATAAAATCCTCCTTGAACCTGAAAGAACTTCAGAATTAAAGCCTCTCTGCAGCTGATAGAACTTCAAAATAAAAGCCTCCTTATAACTCAGACAGACCAATAGAATAAAATCCTCCTTGAACCTGAAAGAACTTCAGAATTAAAGCCTCTCTGCAGCTGATGGAACTTCAAAATAAAAGCCTCCTTATAACTCAGACAGACCAATAGAATAAAATCCTCCTTGAACCTGAAAGAACTTCAGAATTAAAGCCTCTCTGCAGCTGATGGAACTTCAAAATAAAAGCCTCCTTATAACTCAGACAGACCAATAGAATAAAATCCTCCTTGAACCTGAAAGAACTTCAGAATTAAAGCCTCTCTGCAGCTGATGGAACTTCAAAATAAAAGCCTCCTTATAACTCAGACGGACCAATAGAATAAAATCCTCCTTGAACCTGAAAGAACTTCAGAATAAAAGCCTCTCTGCAGCTGATAGAACTTCAAAATAAAAGCCTCCTTATAACTCAGACTGACCAATAGAATAAAATCCTCCTTGAACCTGAAAGAACTTCAGAATTAAAGCCTCTCTGCAGCTGATAGAACTTCAAAATAAAAGCCTCCTTATAACTCAGACGGACCAATAGAATAAAATCCTCCTTGAACCTGAAAGAACTTCAGAATTAAAGCCTCTCTGCAGCTGATAGAACCTCAAAATAAAAGCCTACTAACTGCTAATGGAGCTTTTAAATAAAAGCCTCCTTATAACTAAAAGCTTTCATTAACACCATATTACTTCAAAATAAAAGCCTCCATGTGATCGGAGGAGCTTCAAAATAAATCATTCCAGAACCCGAAAGAACATTAAAAAATAAAAGCCTACTGTAATTAAGGAAGAATGTGATTATAATAGCTTGAATGAAACAAAAAAAAGACCTTCCTGCAGCTGAGGTGGACCTTTACAATAAAAGCCTGACTGAAGCGGTCACATCTCACGCTGATGTTTAAGCAGTGATCAAAGCAGCATAGAACTCCTGTTTCCATGAGGAAGCTGCAGTAGTACCTGTCTGCATCAGCAGGCCGGAGCGACGGCAGTCTGAAGCTGGTGTTCCGGTCCAGTTTGGTCTGACTCTTCGTCCTCTTGATGGAGCTTTTGAGATGTTTGCTGAAGAAGCCCTGGAAGAAAAGCAGAGCGGGTATCAGAGGAGACGGCAGGTCATCTACACACCAGAGCTGACTCTGTTTGTCCACCAGATGGCGACAGATCACGGGTCAGAACATTTGAGGGGAGTCAATCTGACAAATAGTAACGATAAATGAGTCCAGATCAAAACAAGCGGAACCAGAACCAACTTCTGAGATCCAACCTGTTCCTTTAGGATGATCTGCTACTGGCGTTATCTGACCTTCCACTCAGTTCTCCTTAAATTGCTCGGACACAGCAACTAGTGATTATCCAACTTCCTCAGCAGTAACAGATACTTTTTTCTTCCACTCAACTTTCCTTTACAACTCAAACACCACACCCTGAGAAAAATACAGCTGCTTCAGAAGTAACATTTCACACTTTAATTCCAGCCCAGCGTTATGTGAGAATCCATCTTTTCCAGCGACAATCTGTACTTTTTCCTTTCACTCAGCCTGCGATTAAAATGTTGCTTTTTTCTTCCACTTAATTTTCCTTTAAAATGCTTAAACACTGGACTCTATGAACATCTACCTTCTTTAGCAGTGAAAGTTTTTTCCTTCCATTAAACTATAAAACATCTGCCTTCCTTTCCATCAACTTTCTGTTTAAATGTTTGTTTTTCCTTCCTTTAAAGCAGCAGAATCACCTGAAGCTCCAGCCTCTTCAGGAAACACTGCTAATGTTTTCTTCCTAACATGTAACAAAGCAAAGCGATGCTCCTTCAAACGAGGCCGTAATTGAGCTGAAATGATGAAACTCTGCTTGATGCAGACTGATTGACAGAGACGGAGCAGCATCACTTTGGCTCGCTGATAAAAAGCGGGACTTCCTCACAGATCTGATTTAAACAGATGGTTCTTTTTATTCAAAGGTAAATTATTATTATTAAAACAAATTTTATTTATATGGAGAATTTAAGATCAACTTGGAATGTAACTGATATTGATAGAGAAGCATGGGAAGACATCTTGACTCTGCCTTCCTGAATTATAAATGCGATGTAATATTTTACATAATGTATACATATCTCCACATATAAATAGTAAGTAGCAAATGTGAAGTGATTGGAGGGACTAGAGATCACCGTTTACACTAGGGGTGTAAATAATAATCGTTTTGTATCGATGCATCGCTCCAACAGCCGACGATCCGATGCATCGACACGTCCGCAAGAGAATCGATTCATGTTTTTTTTCCTCCGGTCTATTTTTATCCATTTCCTCCTGGGCGTAATTCTCCCTCCCGTGCTGCGGTGGCGCTAAACCTATTTTGCCCTCCCACCTCGCTTCCTGGTTATACTTTTACAGCAGTTTGTTGCAGTGAGCTTGATGCAGACATTTTTGATTTATGCTAAATATTGAAGCATGGTCTATGCTACACGCTGTGGGTCTAGATACGGCCGAGGCGGTGAGGAAGTGGGGGCGAGTTTAGTCTGACGACGGAGGGACATGAGGGCCAAAAAGAGAGTTCAAGTGGAAAAAGGGTCCCAGCGTTCTTGCGCACCTCGCTCTTCTAGCGGGTCAAACTTCACAAGTTGTTTTCTGCAATTTCGGTCATAAAAACAAAACAAGCCGGCCTCCTGTTTCGGCACCGTTTGCGCATAGTTACAATTTGGGAGAGGAGCAGCGGAGCGTCTGTGGAAGGGGGCGGGACGTCTGGAGCCGAGGCATTGAATTGCACTCATTGCACTGATTTTTTGCAGTATTTTTTGATGCAACTTTTCTAATTCTGTTACCGTATTTTCACGACCATAAGGCGCACCGTACTAAAAGGCGCAGTCTCAGTTATGTGTCCCATTTCTGTATTTAACACACACATAAGGCGCACCGGACTATAGGGCGCGTTTTTTATATACAGGTACATGTTTTATACTACGTTTAAATACCTCTACTGTGTATTTAAAAATAGAGCGGGAGCAAAACTGAGTATGACTGTGCTTTATTCATGTATTTATTACAAACTATTAATCAAACCTGGGAGCTGGCCGTGAGACAAACACATCGCAGATGACACAGCGCTGTGGTCACTCCTAAATTAACTTAAAATCCTGAAACCTGCCGACGGAATATGTTCGCTTTTATTGCCGGTATCCAGGTGCCTGCAGCTAAAATTATTTAGATGAAAAACACCTGCCAGCCGCCGCGGTGAACCTGGAGGCTGCCCAGCCTACAGGCTGCTGATGAAGGGATTTCTGCTGTCGGTGCACCGCTGGTATGTGGGGGTCTGAGCGCCTCCGACAGAAATAGATAATCTGGATGAACTGACTGTAATTATGAAGTTTTCAGGTGGACTTTCTCACTTAAAAACATATTAAAACTACTTTATTCCCACTGATCACAGCAAATATAGCTGCAAGATTTAGATTATTTAGATGAAAAACACCTGCCAGCTGCCGCGGTGAAGAGGAGGAGACCCGCCCAGAGGCTGCTGTTGAATTAAGTTTCCAGGTAGAAAAATAGAGCGGGAGCAAAACTGAGTATGATTGTGCTTTATTAATGTATTTATTACAGAGTAGTAATCAAACCCATCAAAGTCATCATCCTCTGTTTCTTAATTAAACAGCTGCGCTAAATCAGACATGCCAGTTTCCCCTTCGCTGTCAGAGTCACTTTCCGTGCCGTGCGGCTCCTCAGAAATGATGCCGGCTTTTGCGAAAGCTCGAACAACAGAGCCAGCAGACACGTTAGTCCAAGCATCTACAATCCATCCGCAAACTGTGGCGTAACTTGCCCGGCGCTGCCTTCCACTTATCCTGAAACTGTGGTCTCCGTCTGTCATCCATCGCTCCCACGCCGCTCGCAGCCTTACTTTGAACGGCCGCTTTCACACCGATGTCGAGCGGTGGAAGTTCATTTGTCAGACCCCCCGGGATAACAGCGAGCACAGCGTTCATTTGATTCACCATGTTTTTCTCATCAGCTGTGAGATGGGCACGCATGGAGTCACAGATTAACTGCGATGGTGATGCGTGGAACAAAACACCTGCTCTCCTCACATACACCTCCCTCAGCCACGCTTTCATCATCTCCTCATCCATCCAGCCTTTTTCTTTGCGTTAATATCATATGTCATCAGAGCGATGCGTCTGTCTCGCTGTCAGCTCCCAGATCAGCTTCTCTGATTGGTTGATGCGGCGCGTCCAGCAGCAGACCTTTTGCTGCACCTATACACGCGTCAACCATTGACTTTGCATGTAAACTGGCTGCTTCTGCTGCGCCTGCTGGGTCCGGTTCACACCGATGTCGAGCGGTTGAACAGCGAGCACAGGGTTAATTTGTTTCCCCATGTTTTTCACATCAGCTGTGAGATGGGCACGCATGGAGTCACATATTAACAGCGATGGTGATGAGTGGAAAAAAAACACCTGGTCTCCTTACATTCAGCCACTCTTTCATCATCTCCTCAATGAGGTGGTCTCAAAAGTCGCAGTTACAACACACATAGGGCGCACCGCACCAAAGGGCGCACCGCACATTTTGAGGGAAAAAAAAGACGTTTAAGTGCGCCTTATAGTCGTGAAAATACGGTATTTGCTGTTGTTTCTTAAAGAAAAATGCATAAAGATATTACAGCTTTTATTGATTTATTTCAAATTTGAAACATCCTCTAGCCTGTAATGTAAAAAAAAAAAAGAGGAACCAATTAATCGAATCGTAGTGTATTCTTGAGTATCGAAAATAATAGAATCGCTGGGTCAGGAAATCGATACTGAATCGAATCGCCATGATGGATGTGATTCACACCCCTAGTTTATAGGGATGGAACGGTTTATGAAAACCGTCCGAACCGTTCCGTTCGACTGTCTCGGTTCGATGTGCTGCTCCTTTTTCTCATAGGCAAAGCGATTACACTCTAGAGCAGAAGGTGGCGGTACTGCGACCAAAGCCAATCACCAGTAGTAAACAAGAAGAAGAAGAAGAATCGAAGCAGTGTAGCCGGGTGTAGCAGAAATAAATCAGTTGTGGAGAATTGTGTGGGTATGGCGAGTGGGAAAGAACAGGAGTTGGAAGACGCGCCAGCAGCACTTTATAGGTCTGCTGTATGGGACCACTTTGCATTTAGAGTGACCTACGATGACGGCGGAAAGAAAGTTGTGGATAAAAACAGTGTGCAAGCATTGTGCAACACGTTTTGTTTATGCTAACAGCAACACGGCCAACATGTCAGGCTAACAATCAACATATACCGAACCGAAAACCGTGAACCGAACCGTGGAGTTTGTGAACCGTTCCACCCCTACTAGTTTACAGTGGGCAGTATGTGGAGTAATGAGGCGTGCTAAAGGACCAACACGCCTCCCTGGCTCGGCGCTGTGCCTCCTTGGTTCATATCCAGTCTGACGCTCACTGAGAGACAACATGTAATTCCTACTGATGTTGGCCAGAAAATCAATAACACTTAAATGGGTTAGTAGTGATGCCCTTTCAATCCAGCTATGGAAAAACTTACTTTCTGAATTCATTCTATGAGAAAGATGAAGATACTGTCTGAATGGGAAATTCTACGCTTTTAAAAAAAAGATAGGAATGTACTCTAAAATACTTCCAACTTTCAAAATTAAAAGACCAGTAATGTGAATCCCAATGATGTAAATGTTGAAGTTTATGTATATATTGGTTATTTTTCCTCAAATGTTTGCTGTAATTTATGCACATGCCTTTGGTTTTGTTTTCTGTATTAGTGCTGTCTATGTTTGTCCTGTTGTTTCTTTTTTTATTCTTCCTTTTTCTTTCTTTGTATAAATGATCAAAATACCTAATAAACACAATATTAAAAAAAAACATATTTTATTAATACATTCTGAGTTGCTAAAACAGTTCAGGGAAATTCAGGAACACATGAATAATAATAATAATAATAATAATATCCATCCAGGGTGGATCTGCTAATGACATTTCTATTCATCCCAGTTTATTTCTATGCGTCCGATTCCATCAGATCATCCAGACTGAACACCAGCTGATAGCAGCAATCGCTCACACTGAGCATGCAACAAACCTCCAGCAGAACCAGAATCAGAACCAGAACCAGGATCAGTGTGAGAGGCTTTCTGCTGAGAACTGTTTGATTTACACAATTAAAGTCGAAACCATCGCCTTTCATGAATGGTTCCAGAACCGGTTCTGTTTTACCCTTTCTATATCCATCCATTCAGCATAGATCCTACTACATGGCTTTACATCTTATTTTGGCATTTGACCAATTAGATGAGCCCTTCAATGATAACTTGAAATAAAAATGTTAAGGAAGAAAAAGTAAAAAGCTAAGTGAAAAAGTTAAAAAGTAAACAGTTATTTTAGGTTTATGAACTATAAAATGTAAGTGCAGTATCAGCATTAAAGGAATAGTACACCCAAAACATGATTAGCCTTCATTTTCTACTCACCCCCATGCTAAACACTCTGGAGTACTTTTTTGATATCTCAAATGCATCTGGAGATCTGGGAGGCTTCTTGCTGTCTGCTGACATTCAAATAATGGAGGTCTATGGCGCCCGAGACAGAAAGGTCCATAAAAGTCCACAAAAACGTGTCAATATTCCTCCATACTGCTCGTCCAATGTATTCCAAGTGTCCTGAGTGGGTAGCATCCAGAATTTACTCGAAACGAAGTCATTTAGAATGTTTTTAGAGCATAAACAGTAGTGTATAGGATTTCCTGAAAGCGCGCGCCAGCGCGTTCAGGACGCTACGGAAGCCGGCAGACCAAACCAGACGAAAGTGCGCATTGCGTAAATTTTGCCTCTAAGTAGGACTGGGTAAAAACATTTATTTAATCGATTTTGAATCGATTCCTTTACATTTTTGCAGAATCGATGTCTAGGGAATGAGATTGATTATTTTTAAAGTGACGAGCGTGACGTTCACATTCAAATGAGCAGGAAAGACGCACTAAAGATGACTTCAAGCCAGACAGCTGCAAATATAGCCAACAGGTTGACTGAAGACATTAACAAATGGAGGCTGAGCAGCAAAAACCTTGTAGTTGTTACAGAAAATGCTGCAAATATGGTTTGTGTAGTGGAGATAAGGCAGCTCATGAATGTCTGCTGTGTCTCCACTGTGTCACGATTGCGGCTTCACTTTTTCACTTTTCACAAACAAGTTTGCACTTATGCAACAGTTTTGTGCACTTTGTGTTTAATGTGACAGGAAAAAGTAAAATACATGAGTATTCTGACACACAGTTGAACCATTTTCATTATTGTAAAAACAGATCAAATCAAAATCTTTCCCCTCAGCGTGTTTTTCATGAATTTCTTACAGAAGCACTTTTGTTATTTTTCTTAATATATTCGGGCAATACGGCGTTTCTTATTACATTTAAATCATTTTTGACATCAAAATATCCAGATTTCTTATTGTCCTGAATTCCAATATTGCTATTGGCTTGAAATTTAGATTTGACTGAATTCCCTATAAAGGGTTAACCTCGGTCTGCTCTGGGTTACAGCTCCCCCTGTGTCTGATCCTGGTACTGCAGCCTCCTCCTGGCTAACAGAGCCAGGCAGGTCGGGTCCTTTCAGGGCGGGTTAACACCGGTGATCGGGTCCAGATCAGTTGATGGGCTTATTAGCCAGTATATGTTTCTCTGGTGGTTCTGTTTCGGTTCACAGAACCTTCTTCTAATGAAGCAGAACCTGAGTTCTGGACTGGTAGAATCAGAGAGGAAATGACTCCAACTGGACCTTGATTCTGCTTTCTGCTGGATGGCACCCCATAATTAAACAGGAACTGGGTCAACATGCAGCTTTGTTCCTGTAGACCCGGTTCTAGAGGCCGGTTCTCTACTTCTCTACGTAAAAGAACAGTGTTCTGGTCTGGTTCCGGTCCATTCCTCGGGTCTATCAGCGGTCTCTGTCTGAATCAGACCAGAACATGTTGGCTCTGAGCTGCGGCGCCCATGATGACTCATTGCCCTGAGCGCCATCAGGCCAAGGAGAACCGGGATACATGGTTCTGCTGATCATCAGTCAGAGACTGGAGATGAGCAGCCTGGATTTGGACCGGTTCTGAGCTGTAGTGGGTTGAATCAGAACCATGGAAGGAGCTGGTCCACCTGGACTGAACCACTCAGTCTGGTTCTTTGACAACCAGAGCCGGACCTTAAAGACCAGAACCTGGAGCAGAACTGTTTCAGCAGAGGCCTCTGAGCGAGCCTTTCACCTGGTACCGACCAGCGGACCGGTCCGAAAGTCTTCTACTCACCGGAACCTTGAACGGAGACGAGTTGGGACTGTCTAGAGCGAGGTTCTTCTCTGAGCCCGGTCCGGAGATGCTCCTCCTCCTCGGAGAACGATCCGAAGATGCTTCTGCAGAGACAGAGAGCAAAGGTTCTGGTTAACAAACGGACCGGTTCATCCCTGCAGAGTCCACTTCTCCTGCTGGACAGAACCAGCAGGTGTTTGGACCAGGAAGGACTGAAAATGTCTTCATGTTTTCAAACAAAGCCAAGATTCTGGACCGGTTCTGTTCCTCCTCTGGACAGCATCTCTCCGCCTGAAGCTCAGGTTCTGGGTCCTGAGACCCGGTTCAGCATTAAGCCCGAGCCTGCAGCTCCAGAACCTTCTGGATTGGGTTTTCTCAAACGAACCGTCCAGAACCTTTAAACAGCCACTAACACCCAGAAGCTCAGTAGAACCAACACCTGGTACCACCAGGGAGAGCTGATGGAGGAACCAGATTGGATCAGATGTTCTGATGAATGAAGCCTGGTTTCCTGTCAGAACCCCAGGTCCGGTCCTTGGACCCGGTCTCAGTGTTTCTGGAAGCTCTTCAGGAGGTTAAATCAACCAGAACCTGAAATCCAAGCTGTGAGTTCTGTTGTTCCGGTCCAGTCCAGCACCTTGCCGGTCTATCCGGCTTAGAACCGGACCCACAGAGTAGTTCTTCAGGTTCTGGATGCTCTATCAGCCTGAAGCAGCTAAATCAGATCAAAAATCTACCATCAACAGAACCAGAACCAGAAAACGGTCGGTTCAGATCCGGTTCTGGCGGTCAGCACCAGGGACCGGCCCAGATGATGTTGTCATGCTGTGGACGCATGGAGCCCTGCGGCTCTGGGCCGTCGAAGCCGCAGTGAAGGCATCATGCAGCGGAGCAGATCGGGTTCCAGCTGCACGCCGCGGCGCGCTGCAGGGAAGCAAACTTTCATGCACACAGAAACCAGCGATGGGACGAGAGGGATGGGGGGGGGCACAGCGGTCCCAGACGCCGCCATCGCCGCTCATCGTCCCGGAGACAAAGTTCAGGCAGCATGCTACAGGAAGTGAGACGGCAGGGTCACATGACAGAAACATACCTCGATCGCAGCTGTTCCCCATCATCTGAGGAGAGGACACACACACACACACACACACACACACACACACACACACACGGTCAGACGGGATTGGCCGGAGCAGCCGCCGCCTGCCAGCCAATGGGGTTAAGCTGCAGACATCAGCTTCGTCCCGGTAACATCCTCCATCCTGCCTCTCCCTCCTCAGCGCCGCATCCTCCTCCTCCTCCTCCTCCTCCTCTCACTCAGCAGTAACTCTAACCCTCCAGGTTTTACCGCATTTATCCAATCAATCCTCCAGATTCACTGTCCTCCTCCTCCTCCTCCTGCTCCTCCTCTCTCCCTGCAGTCCTAACCTCGCTCTCTCCTCCTCCTTCCTCATCGCTCCCCTCTCAGGATAATTACCAAACAAGTTACCTCTCATCCACCAGAGGCTCCGACCTGCTGAGGAAACCAACAGGGACTTTTAAATAAACGGGGAACGAACGCGTTTAAAACACCGAGCAGAACTCCAGTGGTGGCCGTTCATCAACCGACCTGCTGACACCTGGAGAACCAAAACCTCTGGGGTTCAGAGCCACCAGCTGGCACTGACAGAACATTCATGTTTTAGATCAGTGGGGGTGCTCCCCCTAGAGGGGGCACAGTGTAACTGCAGGGGGTGGAAGAATTTATAACTAAATAAAATCATTTTTTAGAGGCACTACTTTTAAGAGATGTTATAGAAATGAGTAAAAAAAAGAAAAAAAGAAGCAGTTTAACCAGGAAACGATTGGTAACCATGGAGATGTTCAACAGGAAGCTGTCTGTGATTCACTGAGAGAGCGGGACTTCTAGCAAATAACAGGAAGGCTTTTAGGCTGCCCTGGAAGATGCCTGATTGGAAACCACTGCAGCCTTTTGGAACATCTGCTTTTACATTCTGCCAAGACGCTAACACTAGCTGCTGTAGATGCTAGCATAAAAGGCTAAAGCTTGGCATGCTTCGGTGGCACAGTGGTCAGCGCACATGACCCATGTACGGAGGCCTTAATGCTGATTTATACTCAGAAACCAGGTCATCTGCGTGTGTCGCAGAAAACACAGATAATAAAAAGTAAATAAATAAAATACTAAAGCTGGTTAAAATGGGAACTTTGTGGTCATTTTATCTGCGTTGAAAAACATGGCGACCATCAGAACCATCAGTGTGACACTGATAGCGGCTCCCAGCAGGAAGGACAGGAAACGCATCTCTGTTCTAATGAGATCAAAGTTCTTCAGGAGAATTAAAGGTCAAGGGTCAAACTTTTAACCAAAGCCAAACGGCCTAAATGGGCTGAAACATTCTGGTCGGTACCAGGGCCCCAACAGAATGAGGTTTTACCTGTTATTAACGGGTCCATCTGCTGCTTTTTTCTTTTTTAAGAGTCCAGAAGCTGATGAAGTGACAGAAACAGGCTGATGAGGTCATCATGTCTTCATGAACAGAACCATAGGAGGATCTTTTTTATCGTCTTATTAACTCCTCCCCCTCTGGCTGCTTACGAGCCAGCGATTGGACCGGGTTCTGGACTCTAGGCCCACAGAGACCATCTGACCTTCAAGACTGGGTCAGAGTCGCAGCAGGAACTGGGACAGACTGGAGCTCCAGTTTCTCTTTACCTGCTCTGTTTTTTTATTTGAGCGGATCAGACTGATTGGGTCTCTGGTGGTACCGCCTTCTCTCTCTGAGAATAAATCAGAACCAGAGAGAAGGAGGGAGCCACCGTTCAGATGGACAGAGGTCAGATCCACTCAGAACCAGAAGCATCACAGGAGTTCTGATAAAAACGGGCCCCAGATCCAGAGGCTGGCTGCAGCACAGCAGCAGGTGAAGCAAACATCAGCAGAACCTGTCATTACATCCCTGCTTGCTCTGCAGACCGCGGTCAGAAATAACTGACACGCCATCAGGTGGTTTTGGCTCGGAGCGTTTAGGAATGCGGCTCTGAAACCGTCCTGTTTTCCTGGGTCTGTTGGGTCTGCTTCACCAGATCTGCAGCTCAGAAAAACAGACAGAATCTGGATCACACTCTTCTATGTAAACCCAGACAGAATCTGGATCACACTCTTCTATGTAAACCCAGACAGAATCTGGATCACACGCTTCTATGTAAACCCAGACAGGATCTGGATCACACGCTTCTATGTAAACCCAGACAGAATCTGGATCACACGCTTCTATGTAAACCCAGACAGAATCTGGATCACACGCTTCTATGTAACCCAGACAGAATCTGGATCACAAGCTTCTATATAAACCCAGACAGAATCTGGATCACACGCTTTAATGTAAACCCAGACAGAATCTGGATCACACGCTTCTATGTAAACCCAGACAGAATCTGGATCACACGCTTCTATGTAAACCCAGACAGAATCTGGATCACACGCTTCTATGTAAACCCAGACAGAATCTGGATCACACGCTTCTATGTAACCCAGACAGAATCTGGATCACACGCTTTAATGTAAACCCAGACAGAATCTGGATCACAAGCTTCTATATAAACCCAGACAGAATCTGGATCACACGTTTTAATGTAAACCCAGACAGAATCTGGATCACACGCTTCTATGTAAACCCAGACAGAATCTGGATCACACGCTTCTATGTAAACCCAGACAGAATCTGGATCACACGCTTCTATGTAAACCCAGACAGAATCTGGATCACACGCTTCTACGTAAAACCAGACAGGATCTGAATCACACGCTTCTATGTAAACCCAGACAGAATCTGGATCACACGTTTTAATGTAAACCCAGACAGAATCTGGATCACACGCTTCTATGTAAACCCAGACAGGATCTGGATCACACGCTTCTATGTAAACCCAGACAGAATCTGGATCACACGCTTCTATGTAAACCCAGACAGAATCTGGATCACACGCTTCTATGTAAACCCAGACAGAATCTGGATCACACGCTTCTACGTAAAACCAGACAGGATCTGGATCACACGCTTTTATGTAAACCCAGACAGGATCTGGATCACACGCTTCTATGTAAACCCAGACAGGATCTGGATCACACGCTTTTATGTAAACCCAGACAGGATCTGGATCACACGCTTCTATGTAAACCCAGACAGGATCTGGATCACACGCTTCTCTGTAAACCCAGACAGGATCTGGATCACACGCTTCTCTGTAAACCCAGACAGGATCTGGATCACACGCTTCTATGTAAACCCAGACAGATCTGGATCACAGGCTTCTATGTAAACCCAGACAGAATCTGGATCACACGCTTCTATGTAAACCCAGACAGAATCTGGATCACACGCTTCTATGTAAACCCAGACAGAATCTGGATCACACGCTTCTATGTAACCCAGACAGAATCTGGATCACACGCTTCTATGTAAACCCAGACAGATCTGGATCACAGGCTTCTATGTAAACCCAGACAGGATCTGGTTCAAAACCAGACTCAGGTTCTGGAAAAACCTCAGGAATTTAAAGGTCAAATCAACATGGAGGATGAAAGCATCACTTCAGAGAAAAAGGCTTTAAATCAAACCTGTTCTAAGCAAACATCATTAAATATGAAAGATATCAACATCTGGAAACATCACTTCAGACCTGATCCTGTTTTAAATGTAGAAAATGGAAAAATAAAGTCCATTAAAGACAAATCAACCAAAATAGGTAATAATGCATCTAATCTACGAACCACCCGCTGACCATCTCCACCCGTCAGGAGAACACACCCGCTGACCACCTCCACCCGTCAGGAGAACACACCCGCTGACCACCTCCACCCGTCAGGAGAACACACCCGCTGACCACCTCCACCCGTCAGGAGAATACACCCGCTGACCACCTCCACCCGTCAGGAGAATACACCTGCTGACCGCCTCCACCCGTCAGGAGAACACACCCGCTGACCGCCTCCACCCGTCAGGAGAACACACCCGCTGACCGCCTCCACCCGTCAGGAGAACACACCCGCTGACTGCCTCCACCCGTCAGGAGAACACACCCGCTGACTGCCTCCACCCGT